TGGTGGAGTCACTTCTGCGAGGTCTTGGCATGGTCTGTTATTCCGCTTCTATGGGTGAGGGGATGCAGGTGCGAGGTCGCATCTGCAGAAGAATGATCGCAGATGCAGGATTGAGGCTCCAGGTGGGTGTCCGCTTCTGCTAACGTGTTCGCGCTTCTGCGATGCCGCAAATACAGTTTGTTTCGCGCAGATGCAGTTGATGGTCAGGTAAGTGAAAGTCGCAGATGCGAGCTTTTTCTCGCAAATGTGGATGCGCAGGTGCGTTATTTTGTCCGCAGATGCGTAAATCCCTGGGCAGATTTTATATATATCGAGGGTTTGGTTTTCTCATCATATTTTGGGATCTAGAGCTCGGTTTTGGGCGACTTTCGAGAGGATATTCACCACATGGATTGGGGTAAGTATTTTTGACTCAGTTTTGATTATATTTAGAAGAGAAATTGGGGATTTTTGTCTTAACTTTTCTAAAGTGAATATTTGAGTTTTGAAAATCGATTCGGAGTTAGATTTGAGTAAAATTAGTATAGTTGGACTCGTAATCGAATGAGTTGTCATATTTTGTGAGTTTTGTCAGGTTCCAAGGTGCGAGCATGGGGTTGACGTTTTGGTTGACTTTGAGCAATTGATTAAAGATTCGACTTTTATCGTTTGGATTTGTTTCCTTTGACATTATTTGATATATTTGAGTTACTCTTGGCTAGTTTTTTAGCGGTTCAGAGGTTGATTCGCGCGGGATGGCATTTTTAGAGTGTTGTTTGGCTTGCTTGGTATTGGATTTGGCCTGTTCGAGCTAAGTAACATTTTAAAACATGGAATTAAGTGTAACTATCCCTGGGAACCATGTTATTTGTGATGTGTTGAGATGATGCACATACTAGGTGACAGACATGTGGGCGTGCACCGGGGTAATCATGATTCAAGTTGACTTTTAAACTAGTAGCAGACATGTTCTACTATCATATCATGTCATATCCGTGTTTTTCCCTACTTGTTTGATTACGTGAGTTGTGATTCATGTTAGAAATTATGTTTAGACTATGTGCTTATAAGGTTGAGACCTAATGAGGCTAGTTCTGTTGTTTTGAGTTATCTGATTTAACTGTAATTATACACTCATTCATGGTTCTTCATTTGCATATCATATCTCAGTCTTTGTTCATCATTCATTGTTACATCGCATGTTATCATTATTTTTCCATATGTGGAGATGTTGGGCTGAGTGGTATGAGATTGTGAGCCCTTGAGACTTGAGAGGTTGATGACTGAGGTAGGCCTTAAAGCCTAGTTGAGAGGAGTGTTGTGGATCGGGCTGCACGCCGCAGCAGGCCATACTGGCTTACTACTACTACTACTACTACTACTACTACTACTACTACTACTACTACTACTATACTACTACTATTATTATTATTATTATTATTATTATTATCGGGTTGCATGCTGCAGCATGCCTTATTGGCTTTATTATTATTGTGGATCGGGCTGCACGCCGCAGCATACCTTATTGACTTTTGATTAGCGCATGGGCATGATCCGCCCTTCCGGAATCTGACATATCAGTAGTGAGCACGGGCACAATGATATACATATACGTGCTCTGGTAAGGGGCATTGATGTCAGGTACCCGTATAGTGCTGAGTGATTTTGTATGTGTGATAAAGTGGGTATTTGAGACAGACAATTTGAGTAGGTTGAGGGTGAGAGTACCTGGGGATATCACCGTGAGATCATTCATTTGACATTCATACTTGGCATGTAGGCATAGAGATGCATTTTCCTCATGCTAGACGGTAATGTGACATTTATGATTTGACATATACATTTAACATGTAGGCATAGAGATGTATATTCCTCATGCTAGATGGTATATGATAATTGATGACTTGACATATATATTGACATGTAGGCATAAAGATGTACTTTCCTCGTGCTAATTGGTAAAAGGGAATTCTTATCTCGTGTTGTGAATTGGGAATACAGTTCTTTTGATAAACTCATATTTTGTTTTTTTTCAGTGGTGAGATTTAGAATTGACTGTTTTACTTGAAAAGTATGCCTACTTTCCCGTAACTGTGAACAAGTTGAGCATATATCTCTTGAGTTATTTATCTTTACTGTTCTCTTTATATTATTACGAGTTGTTATTGGCTATTGGTGTAACTCTAACCGTCTTCCGAGCTCGTCACTGCTTTCAACCTAAGGTTAGGTTTATTACTTATTGAGTACATGGGGTCGGTTTTACTCATATTACACTTCTGCACCTTGCGTGCAGATCTTGGAGTTGATGTTGCTGTGTATGGCGGGAGCTGGCATTGAAGATGTATCTGCGTTCCGGTTATAGCTACCACTTGTCCTTGGTAGCTTTAGATTTAAAAATCTGTTCATGTATAATTCGGTTAGATGGTGTATTTATTTCGTATCAGCTTTGTAAATTCTAAGTCTTGAAGCTCATGACTTGTACTACCAATTCTCGGGATTTTGTATAGAAAGTTCAGTTATTTTATTTATTGACTCTTGTTATCTTATTTGAGTTGTGTTGACTGTCATTTGGCTTATCTAGCGGGTTGGGTTAGGTACCATCACGACTAGTTGGATTTTGGGTCGTGACAACAATATACTAGTATTACTATTGAATCATGGTATACTGTGATTACTGTCGAACAATGATGTATTCAACAAAACACTTAATATATTATGTAGTATATTAAAATACCATTAAATTATGGTATAATGCGATTATTGGTATATTATATAGTATACTATGATTAATGTTGAATCATGATATATTTATTACTGGTATGTTAAATGATATTTAAAATATTTTTGATATATTGTGTACTATATCATGATTACAGTTAAATCATGGTATACTGTGATTATGATATACATTAAATGATATTCACAATATTCTTGATATATTATTGAATCATGATATAGGATAATTATTTTAAAAAATGGTATACTATGAAGCGATATCCACAATATTCTTGATATACAATATACCATGATTATAGTTTAATCATTATATATATATAGTATTCACAAATATTCTTGGTACACTGAATCATATACTATGATTATAGTTGATTCATGTTATACTGTGATTACTGTTGAATGATACTATATTGTGATTATTGATATATTAAGCAGTATTCACAATATTCTTGGTATATAGTATACCATAATTACAATTGAATTATGACATACTGTGATTAATGGTATATAAATCGTATTTATTCTATGATTATAGTTGAATGATGGTATATTGTAATTGTTGTTGAATGATGATATATTATAATTATTGGTATGTTAAAGGATATTCACAATATTGCTGAAGATAGATTCATGTAATAATCATATATCTAAGTAAGTCTTACTTATCCTAGTGAACTAGATGAAACCCCCTAAAAAATATCACTTTAATCCGAGCTTCATAGCTCCCAAAATAGTAAAACAAACTCTAAGTATGAAATGTGACTTATTTAACAATAGGGCAAAAAAAAATGGCTACTAGTGCAAATTGGCAGAAAATGGCCGGTGAACTACAAAAATAATCCTCAAAGTGGATGGTGTTAAATTTTTGTTTCCGCTTGCCCATCGATAGAACTTCAAGTTAACAAGTACTGCATATCGCTTGCCCCATGAGCAATACTTTTAATTTTTGACCTTAAACTTTTGCCCGTGGAGCAAGCAAGGGTCAAAAGTTAAAGACCACCCAAAAAAGTATCATATTTCAGTAAAAATTTTAAAAAATGGTTGCGGGTAATTGGTAGAAAATAGCTGATGGTGCAAATTTAATTGTTGATTTTGCTAGTTTTTGCCTTAAAAATCTTATCCTAACATCCTAAAACTTACCCAAGCCCTCCATAACCACTCCAAATTATCCTAACAAATCTAAATACCTTATATGAATTTATCCAAAGGCTCAAAACATAAAACGAAGTACTATAAATAAAATCAATAACTCAAATCAACCAAAGAATCCTTAAAGTTTTAATTTTTATGCAGTAGTGCCGAAATACACCCGAACCCTCGAGTCTTAGTCTGAACATCCGTATAAGTCCAAAATCATCATACGAACTTGTTAAGCTTCAAACCGAGATCTAAGCACATTAACACAAGTTGTTGACTTTGTTCACCTTCATGAACTTAAGACTTCAAGTTAGAAATCAAGTGTTCCAAAATACCTCCAAATACTTGGGGACCGAACCATTCATACCCGTAAGTCACAAATATTTAACTGAACCTACAAAAAGTCTCAGATCACAAAATAATATGCGGAACTCAAAACAATCGGTTGGGTTGTTACATAATTTAACAAATTATATATATATATATATATATATATATACACACATACATACATAAATCCTTTCCCCTATATATGCAGTGTAATCTTCCGAGAAAAAAGATTCAACTGAACTCTCTTCATCCTACATCACTTTGCAATCGATTATAATCTTTGCATTACCAACATCTTTATTATTAATCTCTTAGGGCTCATTTGATACGACAAATAAGGGATAATTAATTGCGAGATTAAATTTGAGACGAGTTTGTCCCACGTTTGATTGGGATAAAATCACAATATAACTGATTTTGCGATTAGTTACCCCAGGTTGTAGTATTATTTTTTTCCCTTATGGAAGGGTGAGATTACTATCAGGATAACTAATCCTGGGATAATAAATCATGGGATAACTTATTTCCTAACCAAACGACCTATTAAAGGATAAAAATAATTATCCCGGGATAGTTATCCCACCCTCTTATAGGGATAAAAATAACAATATAATTTTGGGATAATTAATCTCAGGATTAATTATACCGTGACTTTATCTCAATCAAATATGGGACAAACTCATATGAAATTTAATCTTGAGATTAATTATTCCTTTATCACTCGTACCAAACGAATCCTTAATCTTAGCTTGACTGTGCACCAAACGATTCCTAACAAATTTAATATGAGTTTTTTTTAACCTCCAAATCCCCTTTCCTAGTCCTGGAGGGCAAAAAATCTTTAGAAAAATCCCCAACAAAATCTAGGTTTGCCTTTCTCCTCAGTCCTCTTCATCTTATCCTCTGTCCCTCCTCTAAACCCTTCTACTCGAAACCCTTCCTTAGAGAGGCATAGAGAAATGTCCTGTGCAATCAAGCCAATAATAAAGCCTTCATCCATGGCAACTAACAGTTGCCTCATTTCTCTTCCTCCCCTCTTTGCCACCACCACAAAATCCAAATCTTTTTCCTACCCACATCTTTCAAACACATTAAAACCCATTAAACTCCTCCACCTTTCTTGCTCTTATTCTCCTTCATCACTTCCCTTTATCTTATCCCTCAAAAAGAAAACATCAGTTTCTGCACTGCAAGAAGAAGAAAACACCCTTATACTTGACGGCCAAGAACAGGAATCTGGAGACTTGTTTAACTTTGAAGCTAGTGGTGAAGAAACAGAAGAAGAAGGGTTTGTAGAGGCAGTTGAAGATGCTGGGGAGAGTGATGAGGTTGAAGCAGAAGAGGAGGAGGAGGAGTTTCAAGAACCACCTGAAGATGCTAAGTTGTTTGTTGGGAATTTACCTTATGATGTAGACAGTGAAGGGCTGGCTCGGCTTTTTGAGCAGGCTGGTGTTGTTGAGATTGCTGAGGTAACTATTGAGACAATTTCACTGAGAAGTTCGCATCTTTCTTTTAATTTTATTTCAGAGGTTCTTGAAATTGAACGTAGGAGAAAATTATTTATTTATTTATGAGGAGATACATGTAGAGCTTGAGTCTTGTAGACACTGTCCTAAGAAACTATTTCAGCAGTCTAAGAGGATTAAAAATTTAAGCAAACAAACCAGCAAGTCAATATTGAGCTGATATTTTGTTTTTACAGGTTATTTACAATAGGGACACTGATCAAAGTCGTGGATTTGGTTTTGTGACAATGAGTACGGTGGAAGNACTGAAATGAGTGATGCAATTGCTAACCTTGATGGACAGGTAATACTTTCTCACACACAATCAAAGTCATGCTCATTTGTTAATTTATATTGTCTTTGAAGAGTTAGCCAGAAGAGGAAGCGTGTCAATTCTCTCAATCGTCTTTCATATTTTCCATTGTCTAAATTTTCACTTTTCTTTTTCGGCAGATCAGTTTTCTAATTAAGCTATTTTATTTGGGTTTCTTTGATAAAATCCAAACTGAATGCTGGAAACTAAAGGCAAAATTACGATAGTGCGAAATTGCAACAGCTATATTATAGAGTATAATTATTCTTTTCACAACGATAAGCAAGTCGACATTAAAGATTGTTGTTTCTTTTACCTATAGTTTGTTCATCATACTTGTTCACTCAAAAAAACCCTTTTTCATCATTACCCGAGTTCTTACTGCACTGATTTAATTATGGCATTAGCAATGCATGTGTGATGTTAAATGTTTTCCAATATAATAGAGTAAGTGCATGAGTTGTTGGAGAGTCAGATAAGCTAATTTTTCGAATAAGGTATTGTTGTTTATTCAACTGTGTTTATACGTTAGAGCCTAGAGGTACATTACAATGATATTTAATTGGTACATAAAAGATGAATTTATTCAGTGGTAAGAAACATGTGAAGCTTAGAATATCCGACACTATGAAATATTATTGTTATTCTGAAGGTCATCTGACATCTACAGCCTAAATCAGATTTAATCCATTACTTCTTTATCTCTTAATACAGTTAAACAGTTGAGATATATTTGTTTGACAGTGTTTCTTGAAGCTAACAATTCTCTCTACGGCTGGTATATTACAGAGTTTGGATGGGAGGACAATCAGGGTAAATGTTGCTGAAGATAGATCCAGGCGCAACATGTTTTGATTTGATCAAAGGTTCATTTGTTCTATAATCATAGCGGTCACAATTCTGCAGCTATGAGTGTTTTTTCCTATTTATTTTTTTTCCGGAATTTTGGTTAGGCGTTTTCCATTTTAGCACTTGCTTGTAAGCTTTGAATTCCAAGTTTTGAACCCTAAATTGGCAATTGCTTATATATAGATAATGCGTCTACTATTTTTTTTTCTTTCTTTGTTTTGCTTTCTGGGAACTTCAAATTGGTGGATGAATGTTTGTGGGTGGACAATATTCTTGTTCCACTGATATGTTAATTTGCCTTTACTTTTAAGCCGTGGTGTTCTCCAGTTGCTAGATTAAACCAGTAAACATAGACTATATTGGTGCTCTTCTATTCAACTTCACCAGAGCTTTTTCTTTTTTAGTATTCGCTGGCTGCTAAAATATTTTTTTTCGCATAATGGTGGTGTCCATCGGTGTTTTAAAAGGCGGAGCGTTTTACCTAATACAATTCCAGGCCGACAGATCTTTACTTTTTGAAATTTATAAATTAATAATAAAGCACTATAACAAAAATAAAATATAAAAGATATATTAAAAGTTCAAGAAAACTAATTTTTTTTTAAAGAAACTCATACAAAATAAAATATCTAGCATGTTTTACAAGTTTAAATAATGCAATATTGTTAAATTTACTATGAAATATAAATTAACTACAACGTCTTAACTTTCAAGCAATTAAAAATTATAATTTCTTAAAAAATATTATCAAACTGCATATTTTACCTCTTTAAAAACTCAATAAATTTTATCAACACTGTAATTTAAAATATTACTCCTTCATGAGTAAATATAAAGTTATTTTTAAATAGTAAAATAATAAATGCATGATAATTTGAAGAGACATAGAACTAAGACATGAAGATATATCAAGTAAATATATAAATTTGGGTTATCTATTTTCAAAAGAAATATTCAAATGATATTCACCCTCTCGATGTTCTCAATTAGTAAATATACAATATTATGGTTCGTTATTTGAGTTGTTCACAATTTTCATATTCCTATAGATAAAAAAAAATTTAATAATTTATTTGTTAAAGAATATTGTGAGTCAACAATGCTAATTAGTGAATTTAACACATGATTTGCATAAGAACTGTTACGCGAGTCCCGAGCTTTGAGCGTTAAGCGTGTTTAGGGCGCACAGTCGGGCGCTTGGGGGCGTAAACCTCACAGAACTAAGTCTCACATATGAGTCTCAAGGCGTTTTGATACTGCCCCGCTCCGGGGCGAGCCCCGAGGCGAGTCCCATAAAAGCCTTTTAAAGGGGCGAGTCTCAGAAAAGCCTTTTAAAACACTGGTGTCCCCATTAGCTTGAATACAATTTTGACTATTACACTAAGTACCTACTGTCTTCCACTAGTACATGTACGATACGATAACTCTATTCACCAGAACTTACGCAAATCGAAAGAAATTATCTGGCAATTTTTTTTTGTTTCTGTTGGGATTTGAACTCTAATTCCATTATGGTCTTCATCTCACTTCATTGTCCGACTGTTAAGTAACACCTTTGTGTACCTATGTTGCCCGGATGATAGCATATCCTTCCCTGCATCTTCAAGCGAAGTTACAAAAGTCCCACATTTGCATATATCTTCTGTTAAGCAGTCTCTATCTCATTTCAGTATAATCTTAGAGCACATCTCATCTTCCACAATTTCCAAGGCATGATGAAGATAATCTTGCTGCAGTGCATAGTTTCAGGTTTAGCAACCAACTTTATATCCAAAAGCACTTGAAATCCAGCTCAAGAGATTGAACTCCCAGATCGGCTAATCTCAAATATTTCGCACTTCCATTTTAGGTTCCTTGGGCAGCAACATATTGAAGGGAAGTTCCTGAAATGTTCCCTTGTATTTTTATGTTTTCATTTTCATGCCAAGTAACCAAGGGGCTTTTCGATTCAACATCACCATATGAAATATTGTATGCACAAGACTGTCTTAGTATGAGAAATCTAAATAGAAACTAAAACAGCATCATTTCATACATTGATTCATCATTCTAATTTCTAAGGGTTCGCAGAGCTGTACAAAAGAAAGCAGAAAAAAGAAGAATTAGTTATACACAGTAAACTATGACTATTACCATCACATGCGAACAGCTGAATTTACAGGCCCTCTAACTGTGAATCCCGACTAGTGAGAGGAACATAACGGACAGAAGTCTCACTTCGACTGCTGATCGAACCATCTGAATTCTTGTCTATAACCTGTACGTGTTGAAAAAAAGTTCCCACTGGAATCACCATCCTTCCTCCAGGCTTCAACTGATCTATGAGATCTTGAGGAATATCACCCGCTGCTGCTCCGACGTGAATAGCATCGTAGGGTGCATGCTCTGACCAACCCTTCCTCCCATCTGTTATAATACACATAAATCCCATCAACTTATCCACGGAAAATAGTCAAAGTAGAAACTAAGAAATAACGTTAAGAAACATCTAAAATTTCTTAGAACTTATATATGTTTTTTTTTTAATAGTTCGGAATGTCTTTTATGTTTTGTTATGATCAGTACATGTAAGAATAAATATTGACTATTGACAGTTCTTTAGTTGTGATCCATAAAGAGAGACAACATTCTTTAGACTTGGTTTAAGTTGTAGTATATCTCTCAATTCTTACGCTTCCTGCTGGAAATACAAAGCTATAAACCATACCACCAACATGCAGTGAGAGGGAGCCGTCTTTCAGTAAGGGAGCTGCTGCACTTTGTTCAACAATCTTGATTGACCATGCAAGTAACTCCGGGATATGTTCAACACCAACAGCTCGACCTTTTGGTCCAACCATTAGTGCAAAACAAGCTGTGAGATACCCAGTTCCTACAGGAAACAAGCTATTCAGAAGCCAGTCTAAGTGCCATGTAAAATCAGCATCCACACAGTCATAATAACCACATCAACATAGATTTACTGGCACTTAACGAACGCCAAAAAGAATAAAAATAAGGAATGAGAAATAGACATCACCACCAAAGAGGATATGAGGAAGAGAACTTTTAAGATGCACACCGGCTGTGAAACAGTTCAATCAAGGTACAAAGTTCAGCACTCTAAACCATTGCTTGATTGATGAAAAACAAGGTAATTTCACCCTTAGCTAAGCCAACCTAAAGTACACCAACCTATCCTTTTAGCAGGCAAAACTAGCTTAAAGCTTTTAAATAATAGCTTAAGACTTCATAAACTGGATGGTCCATAGATTCAAAAATCTAGTTGGTCAGGATGTTTAAATATATTATTCAACAAGCTTTCTACTGATACTTCCTACAATCAAACATCCTCAGATCTTCCCTGAGTTCCCTCCAAGAGGTCTATACAACAAACTACAAAAAACTCCCTCCACTCCATTTTATGTGCACTGTTTTCTTCTTAATCTGTTCCAAAAAAGAAATGTCACCTATCTATACTTCGAAAGAATTTTAACTTTAAACTTTCCATTTTATCCTTAATAACATGCTTTAATAGCTACAGAAAGCTCATGGCATTTTAAGATCATAGGTTCTATATGTCTTTCTTTCTTAATTAAACTCCATGCCAGTCAAACTATGCCACATAAATTGAAAGAGGGGGAGTAGCAATTATCAACCCCTTATCATTGCAGTGAGGGCAATTACAATTCACGAGAGACATTTACATTGTCTGAAATATATGTTCAACATCAACATAGAATTTATTTTCAAATTAAAAGAGCCAATGGAGCTGGTATAAGTGTCAAATTGTTATCCTATATCTGCATGACATGCAAACAAAACATAGATAATTTGGGGAAATAAGAGGAAAAAGTTTGAAGATGGTTCATTCTCAATCCAACTACGGCTGGATCTCCCAGAATCATGGAATCAACCAAGTCTAGAAAACTCAGAATCAATAAGCAGCGACTATTTTCCGTATCAACTGCATCCGATGGTGTCACTTCTGTCACCCACCATGTAAAAACAATGCTACTTATGGTAATAAACCCCATGCTTCTAGAGCTTGTAAATAGCGATTTCTTATTCCTCGTAAAGCCAATTACAATAATGACTTAGCAGTTGAATATGAAAGACACACATTTAGCCACATACTCAGAGACATCCCTCTTAATACCTTCCCACCAATAGTGAAAGAAACAGTAACAATTTGCTAAGAGATTGCAGGAATAGTGATGTCGAAAATCACCTGAACCGACATCAAGAGCATGCATGCCCGGCTGCAACTTGTCCTCCAATAATTGAAGACACATAGCATGCATATGAGGTGCTGAAATAGTGGCATTGTAACCTATACTCGCGGGGCTATCAACATAAGCTGGGGTTCCCTCGGGTACAAATAAAGCCCTGTCGATAGTTTTCATTACTTCCACTACTCTCTCAAATCTGATCACTCCATATCTCTGCAACTGCTCAATCATTCCCTTGTTTCTGCTAATTGCAGTTCCACTCCAATATTGCTGTTGACAGACACAAAACAAGATTGTGATAAGAGATACATTGGCCAATCTCCTAACCTGTTCAAGGTTGAACGGGAAGGAGAAAGAATACACAGTAAATAAGACATCATAACTACAGTGTCAAGATATAATAACATTGGATGTATGATTAAGTGGGTAGGACGATGCATTGAGTAGATCCAACTTCCCTTTGGCTGAACGGAATAAATACATAGCCACAGTTTATTACTATTCAAGTACATCCTACACAAATTATCAGCCATATTATCATCATATCTTCTCTCTTTTTCATATTAGGAAAAAAATTCAAAAAGAACCTAAAAAGGTGGCAATAACAGCTTATGACTTACGGCGAGGTGCTTTAGTAGGAATTTAAGAAAATTATCAGGTCACATAGTCAGAGAAGAAGAAGTCTGCTTTAATTAACCTTATTTGCTAATACCACTTGGCCCTTGCTAATCAAGGACTTGGGTTGCAAGTGGTACATTGATTGAAATGAGCTACCATCCAGTTACTGAATTAGAACTACTGAAGTTTAGGAAATAATTTCAAGGGAAGAACCCTTAAACCATACAAGCAAAAGTGAGTATAAAGCCATACAAATAACTCATTACTCTTAGTGGCATACTTAGGCAAGAAGGTATGGCCAGAGACTTGAGGTAAAACTGTGATGGCAGCTCATAGCAACGCAGATCAGGCAACATCAAGCATGACAAGCGAATTTTGTCCGGTACTCTATTTATCATTTCATAAAGCAGCCTCAAGACAAGCTCTCGTCTAAAGCTACTTGTTTTGGCGTTATAGGAAAAAAATATGCAAATTATAAATGTTAAACTTCATTGGATTTTAAAACTGAAATAAGTTAAAGTTCTAATCAGTTTAATATGCATGAACTCTCAATACATTAATAATCTAGAAATAATTCTAATTAAACTCTAATGACTTTTTAGAGTTCTTCAGTAACTAAGAACTGAACAACTGATAAACAACCCAAGAATTAAACAAACAATTCTTTAGTAAACACAAATATTACATACATCAACTCTAACAGCTAAAACTACAAATCCACAACTAAGAACTAAACAAAAGAGTAAATACTTCAAGATTTACTAATTATTTCAATACTAAAGGGCAAAAAATCAAACTAACCAATAAGGTAAGTTGGAAAAGATGGTTTATCACAATATCAATATTGACACCGAGATAACCTCAATATACTAAATATGAATTTTTGTAACATTATCAAAGATACTTTCAAGTAAAGCAAGCAACTATTATAATAATTTAAATTTATTATTAAGACATGAAAAGAGGAGAGAGAGGGAATGTGTGTACCTCCATCCAGGAGAAGAGAGGGAAGATTTTAGGATTACGGAGACGAGAGAAGGAAGAGGAAGTGGGGAGGAGAAGACTGAAGAGGAGATGGTAGTTGATGGCTATAGAGGTGGCGACTGAAGGTTATGGGAATACACTTTAGAGGCGCACGATAGAGGAAACCACATGCAATTGCTGGTAGAGATTGCAACAACACTAAACACGGCATCTTCACTCTCTGTTGTGTCTCACCTTAATTAATTTAGCTTTTTCGCACCAACACCTGTTGGATACCTATCAACTCAACTCAATTTATTTAACTATAAAATATGACTCATCGGATACCTATCAGATAGGAATTCAAGGCAATTCAATAAATACGAAAAGTCATGGGTAACTATTGTTCGTGAACGAATAAGTATTGCCTCTGTTATAAATATATTATATTATGGATATTCATTTAGTACTTCATTGTAAATAAGCTTTCTGAAAAAACTTATCCATATAAGATTCTGCAGTAAATATATTTATCTATTTAGTACTCTATTAGAAATAAGCCTTCTGAAGAAACTTATCCTTTCGGTACTCCGTTATAGATAAATATTATCCATCGTAGAAGATTATCTATATCTGGCACAACAGCTTAGAGTAGCAGCTTACAAGCAGCTTACACAGCAGCTTCCTTTCTTCTATAAATAGAGGAGAATTCAGTTCATTATGTACATAAGTTTGAAGTTTGAATAATATATCAGTTTCTCTCTATACTTGTCTTTACTTTACAGTTTTTATTTTATAACACGTTATCAACACGAGACTCTTCCATCTCGAGAAAATACTTTGAAAGTATCAGAGGTACGGACTTTCTTTTTCTAAATAATGTCAAATCTTTCTAAACTTGAGTTTGTAGCCCTGGATATATCGGG